TTTTTTTTTTTTTTTTTTTTTTTTTTTTTTTTTGTTTTTGTTTATTGAATGAGGTAGCAGAAAATTTTCTCCATTTGGTTGTTGAAAAGACATGCAAAATCATCGAGTCCAAATGGGTCTATCAAACGTATAAACTAAACAGCTAAAAACAAGAAAATAATCAATTACGCACACCCTCAAGAAACCATAAATCAACACGATATGGACTCTGTCGGCGTTCTGCTAGTTTTCTCCCTTCTCAATAAGCTGTATGTTTGCATTGAAATCATCCCCTTCCAAGTTCTTTAATTGTTCTTCATTTGTTTGGTTTTTCAGTATGAATCTCTTCATTCATTAATCAACTCGGCCTCTGTTTCCATTTCCATGGAAGATACAGAGCTTATTCTGTAATACCCACGACCCCATCTGCCGCCATTAATGGACCTCTGTTTTTTGTATCGTTTAGATTGAGAGAGCACGACACTGTAAGAAGCTCGACGATGGTTTACTTATTAGTTTATCGATCATCTTTGTTAAGCTTAGTGAGCTTCATTTCTCAGTCTTTGAGAATGGAACAGTTTTTCTTTGGGGTTTTTAACTTTACGATTCTTTTGTAGTTGGCTGAGGTTGCCCTTTTAGTGTTTGTTTGTTGTCATTTTTATGTTTAGTTTATCTTCTGGGCTGTGATCTTCTGTTTTGCTTCTGTGTTTTCTCTTCTGGGTTGTGATCTCCTGGCTTTGTATTTTCGTTTGAATCTCTTAGTTTCACTGTATTTTCAGATGCTTCTTATGATTTCTCGTGAGTTTATGATGAATGTTGTTCATTTTCAGGGAACTGCGAGAAGGAAACGTTGTTCCCTCAAAGCGTACTTATGAAGATGAACCCATAATCTGTAACGTCTCAAGCCCACCGCTAACAGATATCATACCATTGTGTCGTGATTCATAGCATAATCTTTGTAGAAATCAGGGAATATGGGTTCTGCTTCGTGGTTATCATCGTTCTCTTGCACTGTGGTTCAATCTTCAAAAGGGGCTTATCCTTCAACCATTTCCCAATGGCTGCAATTCATTTTTCTATCTCCATGTCCTCAAAGAGCACTTTTATCCTCTATTGACCTTCTATTTCTACTCCTTGTCATATTATTTGCAGCTCAAAAGCTTTATTCTAAGTTTACTGCCCAAGAACGGCCCGGCTCTGATTTGAACAAACTTCTCATCGAGAAGAATAGAGCTCGTCTCGAAACTACAATCTGGTTCAAACTCTCATTGATTTTGAGTGTTCTATTTGCCTTGATTTGCATTGTTTTTTGTGTTCTAGCTTTTACTACAAGTAAACAATCGCAATGGAAATTAACCAATGGATTATTTTGGTTAGTTCATGCTGTAACTCATTCAGTGATTGCTATCTTGATCATTCATGAAAAGAGATTTGAAGCTGCTAGGCACCCGTTACCACTCCGCATTTATTGGGCTGCAAATTTCGTTATCGTTTGTCTCTTTACTGCATCTGGGATTATTCGTCTCGTTTCTGCCAAAGAAACTGGGGAACCCAACTTGAGGTTCAATGACATTGTTTTCATAGTTTTCTTGCCATTGTCAATGGTTCTTCTTTATATTGCCATTGATGGATTGACCGGCATTACGATGACCCGAACAGTGCAAGACGGCGAGGAATTTGAACCCTCAAACGAATTGAATGTGACTGTCTATGCTTCAGCTTCTGCACTGTCCAAATTATTCTGGTTTTGGATGAACCCTTTGCTTAAAAAAGGGTATGTGGCCCCTTTAGTTACTGACCAAGTACCATCCCTTTCTCCAGAACACAGGGCTGCAGCCAGGCTAGCAATATTTGAATCAAAATGGCCTAAACTACACGAGAGAATCGAGCATCCTGTGCGAACCACATTGATTCGGTGCTTCTGGAAGGACATTCTCTTCACTGGCTTTCTTGCAGTTATCCGTATTAGTGTCATGTTTATGGGACCTGCCCTTATCCAAAGTTTTATTGATTATACTTCTGGAAAAAGAAGCTCCCCTTATGAAGGGTACTACCTCATATTATCCCTCATGTTTGCTAAATTTTTTGAAGCGTTAACTACTCATCACTTCAACTTCCACTCCCAGAAGCTTGGAATGCTTATTCGGTGTACCCTTATTACTTCGATATACAAGAAAGGCCTAAAGCTATCATCATCTGCCAGGCAGGCTCATGGGATTGGACAGATTGTAAACTATATGGCTGTAGATGCCCAGCAACTTTCAGATATGATGCTGCAATTACATGCTATATGGTTGACACCATTTCAAGTAGCTATAACCTTTGCGCTCTTGTATGCCTATCTTCGAGCTGCGGTTGCTGCTGCAGCGGTCGGACTTTTGGCTGTCTTTTTGTTTGTTTTTCTTACTACCAAGAATAACAATAGGTTCATGATGCAATTGATGATGGGCCGGGATTCAAGGATGAAGGCAACAAACGAGATGCTTAACAATATGCGTGTGATTAAGTTCCAAGCATGGGAGAAACATTTTCAAAAGCGAGTCCTAACTTTTCGTGGTATAGAGTTTAAATGGCTTACCAAGTTCATGTATTCAGTATCTGCTACTATGTTGGTGATGGGGAGCTCTCCAGCGGTGATATCAACTATTACCTTTGGCTTTGCAATCCTCTTAGGCATTCGACTCGATGCCGGGACAGTGTTTACAGCTTTGAGTCTCTTCAGGCTTGTGCAGGAGCCTATTAGAACCTTCCCTCAGTCTTTGATTTCACTGTCACAAGCAGTAATATCACTTGGAAGGTTAGATCGTTTCATGATGAGTGGGGAGTTGAAGGAGGATTCAGTGGAGAGGGAAGAAGTATGTAACAATGGCATAGCAGTCGAGGTTCGAGATGGGTCGTTTAGCTGGGAGGACGAGGAGGGTGTAGTTTTGAAAGATTTAAATTTTAATGTTAGGAAAGGAGAGCTCACAGCTGTTGTTGGCATTGTGGGATCTGGAAAATCTTCTCTTCTGGCTTCAGTTCTAGGCGAGATGCATAAACTATCTGGAAGGGTATGATCCTTTTTCAATCCTTGACTGAAAGTGAAAAAAACGCTTATTAACTTGCAGGATTTATGATAACTTTGTCCCCTCTAATCTCTTTCTAACAGGTTCGGGTATGTGGGACAACGGCTTACGTCGCCCAAACTTCATGGATACAGAATGGGACTATTGAAGAGAACATATTGTTTGGTTTGCCAATGGACAGGAACAGATATAGGGAAGTAATCCGAGTTTGTTGCCTGGAAAAGGACTTAGAAATGATGGAATTCGGAGATCAAACGGAGATTGGTGAACGAGGTATTAATCTAAGTGGCGGTCAGAAACAGAGGATACAACTTGCCAGAGCTGTATATCAAGATTGCGACGTTTATCTCCTTGATGATGTGTTTAGTGCTGTCGATGCTCACACGGGGTCGGAAATATTCAAGGTAACAAGTGACTACAACACATGCACAAAATACTTTTCATCTTGTTTGATAGTGACTAAAAGTGTTCTTTACAACAGTTTTAAAGCATTTATCATGCATTTATTTTGAAAACTCTCCCAAGTATACTTTTGTGTCAGCGTCCTCGCTGGCCCCCCAAGAAGGTGGATTGTGAGATCTCATATCGGTTTGAGAGGAGAATGAAACATTCCTTATAAGGGTGTGGAAATCTTTCCCTAACAGATGCGTTTTAAAATCGTGAGACTGACGGCAATACGTTACAAGCTAGCCAATATCTGCTAGCTATGGGTCTAAGCTGTTACAACTTTTATTGGGTGCATCCTTCTCCATATTTTTCACCTATATGGTTGTCTTTTGTGTATCACTTGCTTTAAAGGAGAACCAATCATGCTCTTAGACTGTAATATCCCACATTGGTTGGGGAGGAGAACGAAACACCCTTTATAAGGGTGGGGAAACCTCTCTCTAGGAGACGCATTTTAAAACCTTGAGGGGAAGCTCAAAGAGGACAATATCTGCTAGCGGTGGGCTTGGGCTGTACCGAATGGTATCAGAACCAGACACCGGGCGATGTGCCAACGAGGAAGTTGTTTCCCAAAGGGGGGTAGACACGAGGCGGTGTGCCGATAAGAACGCTGGGCCCTAAAGGAGGGTGAATTTAGCGGGGGTCCCACATCGATTAGAGAAAGGAACGAGTGCCAGCGAGGACGCTGGGTCCTGAAGGGGGGGTGGATTGTGATATCCCACATTGGTTGGGGAGGAGAACGAAACATCCTTTATAAGGGTGTGGAAACCTCTCCCTAGCAGACGCGTTTTAAAGCCTTAAGGGGAACCTCGAAAGGAAAAGCCCAAAAAGGACAATATCTGCTAGCGGTGGGCCTGATCCGTTACATAGACCATGTAATAGAGGCAGTGATCCTCGTACCGTCTTTGCTGCTGTGCTTTAAAAGATCACTGGCTGTGATAAAGCCGTTCTCGTTTCCATTTCACGTAAAATATGAGTTGTAGGAAGTGATGTTCATCTAATTTCTATATGATATTTTCACAGGAGTGTGTGAGAGGAATTCTCAGAGACAAGACTGTCATGCTTGTTACTCACCAAGTTGATTTCTTGCACAATGTGGATCTTATCTTAGTAAGTATATTACTTATAAACAAATTCTTTTTGGTTGAAGTTTCTGAAGCAAACTATCCCTTACAGTTAGAGGACTGAATTTTGGTGCCACTTTCGATAGGTAATGCGTGACGGGATGATTGTGCAATCGGGGAAGTATAGTGATTTATTAAGCTCCGGAACAGATTTCGAGGCGTTGGTTGCTGCACACGAAACCTCCATGGAAAGTGTGGAAAACAGCAGTGCTGAAACAGTTGAAAACCGTCCCCTACTACGAAAATCTTCATCGATTGATGATGAAAACAATGCTGTTGATAAGCCAAGCCCAGATAAGGGTTCTTCTAAGCTCATCCAAGATGAAGAGAGGGAAACAGGAAGAGTTGGTTGGGAAGTCTACAAAGTTTACTGCACAGAGGCCTTTGGATGGTGGGGTGTGGCCGTCGTGTTGGGACTAGCTTTCGCAGGGCAATTGTCGTCTATGTCTAGTGATTACTGGCTCTCATACGAAACTTCGGACGAAAATGCCGAATCATTTGATCCCTCGCTTTTCATTACCGTCTATGCCATACTCGCTTGTGTTTCATTGGTGTTGGTGGCTTTCAGATCCTTTGGCATTATATTGTTGGGGCTTAGGACAGCCACTGTTTTCTTCTCACAAATTCTCAATTGCATTCTACATGCTCCCATGTCGTTTTTCGACACTACACCTTCAGGAAGGATACTAAGTCGGGTAAGAAATCGATGTTTTTTTGCACGTTAGATTATTCAGATATATTCATGTAGTTATGTATGAGAAATGAGCTATATTCAAGCCATTCACCGAAGATTACTTTGCTTTAATCAGGCATCAAATGATCAGACCAACATCGATTTGTTCATCCCCATTTTCATGGAAAGTAGTCTGGTCCTGTACTTTGCTGTGTTCGGTATAATCGTCGTTATATGTCAATATTCTTGGCCTACAGCTTTCTTCCTTATTCCACTTGGCTGGCTTAACGTGTGGTACCGGGTACGTTTTTTCATTTAATTTGGTCCGGTGTGTTGAGAATTGTTGGGAGGGAGTCCCATGTTGGCTAATTTAAGGAATGATCATGGGTTTGATTGGTATGAGGCCTTTTGGGGAAGCTCAAAGCAAAGCCACGAGAGCTTATGCTTAAAGTGGACAATATCATACCATTGTGGAGAGTCGTGATTCCTAACATGGTATCAGAGTCATACCCTTATCTTAGCCATGTCAATAGGATCCTCAAACGTCGAACAAAGAGTGTACTTTGTTTGAGGACTCTAGAGACGGTGTCGAGGCTCAATTAAGGGAAGGTTGTTCGAGGGCTCCATAGGTCTCAGGGGAGGCTCTATAGTGTACTTTGTTCGAGGGGAGGATTGTTGGGAGGGAGTCCCACATTGGCTAATTTAGGGAACCATCATGGATTTATAAGTAAGGAATACATCTCCAATGGAGACATTTTGAGAAAACTCAAAGCAAAGCCACGAGAGCTTATGCTCAAAATGGACAATATCATACCATTGTAGAGAGTCGTGATTCCTAACAGGGTGTGCGCATTCTAACTCATGACTCGTTGCTTTGTCTACATATACAGGGCTATTTCCTTTCATCATCTCGTGAGCTAACTCGCCTGGACGCCATCACAAAAGCACCTATTATTCACCACTTTTCAGAAAGCATAACCGGAGTAACGACGATACGTTCTTTTAGAAAACAAGAGCTATTTTGCGACGAGAATATCAAACGGGTCAATGCCAATTTATGCATGGATTTCTACAATAATGGATCTAAGGAGTGGTTGGGTTTCCGTTTGGAGCTGCTTGGAAGTATCTTCCTCTGTATATCTGCTTTGTTCATGATCTTATTACCAAGCAGTATTATAAATCCAGGTACTCATATTTGGATCTTTATATCTGTAATGAAAACTAGCCGTGTTCATCAGTTATATTGTCTTTGATGCAGCAACTGTTGGTTTATCACTTTCATATGGATTATCCTTGAATAGTGCGTTGTTCTGGGCCATTTATGTGAGTTGCTTCATTGAGAACAAAATGGTTTCTGTTGAGAGAATAAAGCAGTTCTCCATAATACCCTCTGAAGCAGCATGGAGGGTTGAACACAAACTTCCTCCTCCAAACTGGCCTACCCGTGGTGATGTTCATCTGCAAGACCTGCTGGTAATTATCTATGACTTCTGTCCCGCCTCGTTTTGGAAGAAATGGACTTCGTATCATCTTCTCGAGAACGTATTTAGAATGACTTTGATGTTTAAACTTTTGAAACGTTAGAAACTCGAATATGATTTAAATTTTTCGGCTGCAGGTGCGATATCGCCCAAACACTCCGTTGGTTCTCAAGGGTATCACTCTAAGCATTCATGGGGGAGAAAAGATTGGAGTTGTTGGCAGAACAGGAAGTGGAAAATCAACTCTAGTCCAAGTCTTCTTTAGGCTTGTTGAACCTTCGGGAGGGAAAATAATCGTCGATGGCATCGACATAGGCACGCTTGGGCTTCATGATCTTCGCTCACGGTTCGGGACCATTCCCCAAGAACCGGTTCTTTTTGAAGGAACTGTGAGAAGCAACGTCGATCCAATTGGCCAGTATACCGATGAAGAAATATGGCAGGTGATCAGATTTACATTAATCTTTTGCGTCTTACATATCATTGGGAAGTGCATTCACACGTAAACGACTACTATCTTTTCTAAGCCTTTCTCTATTTGTAGAGTCTTGAGAGATGCCAACTTAAAGACGTTGTAGCTGCAAAACCCGACAAACTCGATGCATCAGGTGCACGCCTTCTCCCAGTCGACGTCTCAAGCCAAATCTTGCTTGAACTTATAATTTTTTTCAATCTGTTCAAAGATGAGTTATTTTAACCAATCATCTATACTATGCCAGTGGTTGCTAATGGAGACAATTGGAGTGTGGGGCAGAGACAGCTTCTCTGTTTAGGAAGGGTCATGTTAAAGCGTAGCCAGCTTTTGTTCATGGACGAGGCGACAGCTTCAGTTGATTCACAAACCGACGCTGTGATTCAAAAGATCATCCGAGAGGACTTCGCGACGTGTACGATTATCAGCATTGCTCACAGAATTCCAACAGTTATGGACTGTGATAGAGTTTTGGTTGTAGATGCAGGTCAGTGCTCTCGCTCTATCTTAACGTTCGTTCGTTGATTATTTTCTGGTTAAAATTACGTCTTGAACATTGATACGAGGTTCTAGTCATTTCCGGGATCACTGCATATCCAATATCATTCATTCTCTTTAGCTCCCTAAACACTTTGTGTACCATGCAACAGGACTTGCTAAAGAGTTTGACAAGCCATCTAAGCTGCTGGAGAGGCCGTCGCTATTCGGGGGATTGGTTCAAGAGTATGCTAGCCGCTCCACTGACTTGTAACTCACCGTTGTGCATATCACCCACAGGCAAAACTTCCACAAATTAGCCCTTTGGAACGGATTCATCCTTACAGAATCCTTCCACTCCACATGTGATTGTATGCTAATATTTGATTGAACCGTTGACAGAATGGTTGGTTGAAAGAATCGATGGTTAAAAGATATATTTTTCGTTTTGATTTCTAGGACCGATGTTGAGAGTGAGTCCCACATTGGCTAATTTAGAAGATGATCATTGGTTTATAAGTAAAACATACATCTCCAGTGATATGAAGTGTTTTGGAAAGCCTAAAGCAAAATTATGAAAGTTTATACTCAAAGTGGACAATATCATACCATTGTGGAGATCTTTTCGACCTTGTCTTTGTTCTTTGTGAAGATCGGGATAAAAAATGAACCATTAAAAATAAAAATCAAAATTCTGTGTAAAAACCTAATATAATTGAGGCGGTTCGGTTTGGTTTAGTTAGGTTTTTTTAAACTACCGAACCGGAAAAAGTCGGTTCCTAATTTTTTCTACACACCCTGAGGAAATAAACCCTACGAAATCCGGAACGTGTTCTTCATCGTCTACGTCTAAACCCTAGCCACCAGTTGTTCTTTGAATTCACAGAGCGACAGAGAGAGATGGGAAGGTCTCGAAGAAAGTACAAGAGATCTCGGGCAAAAGTGCAGGTCGGCTTGCCCAAAAGGAACCCCAATGTCTTCAAGCCATCTTTCTGTATGCCGCCGAAGCTCCGCTCCTTGCTTGCCGAACAATTTGAAGAAGATCCCGCGTGGGACGAGAAAGCCAGTGTCATTCACAACTACAAGTCCTTCGGTGTTCTTTCTAATCCTAATTTGCTCAGTGTTCGTTCCCGAACGGATCACATCGTTGAGAGCGACTTTCTCCAGGTCCCGCCGTCATTGCCGCCTTCCGATGACCCTGATTCGGTGCTTGATTCTTCCGGTAGCGATGTGGAAGAGGACGGTAAGTTTGAGTTTAATCACCCACCATCAGCCTTGGGATTTTTTATCACTATCAGTGTTGCAATTTTTTAAATGCTTTCTTTTAGAGTTACGCAAGAACCATTACTCATCCAGATATTGTCTTCATTGGACTTCCCTTTCGGGATTCTCCTCAAAGTTGTTGGGTTTTTCCTTCGGGCTTACCCATTCCGCCTCTTCTAAGGAGAGATTTACACACCCTTGGAAGGAATGTTAATACCCTGGGTATTGAAATGAAATAGAATGTTGATTGACTTGATATTAATGTCTTATTTGTCACGAATCCACATGAGGATTCCTATGCAAACTTTTGAGTTGTGTTTCTGATTTGATCTTGGGCTGATTCTGTGTTCTTTCTTTTGTGTACATTAGATTTGAAAACAGCCCTGGGAAAGAAGCGCAGAGATGGGAAATCTGCACCTCTAAAACCTTTGACGACGATTCAGCGTGTTCATGTCGGTAGGCTAATCGAGAAGTATGGAGATGATCATGAGGTAGGCTTCAGTTTTACTTGCTTTTAGATCGGACTAATTGGCTTATTTTTTCTCACTGAAAGTTGTTGTTCTGCAGAGGATGTTCATGGACACAAAGCTGAACTCAATGCAGCATTCTGTTGCCACTCTGGAGAAACTATGCAAAAGATACCACAGTTGTTTAGATAAGAATCCATTGATATTGACTCGTTAAAGATCTTTCAAATTGTTCTGTTACAGAGGTGAAATCAGATAAGGTATGATCATGAAATCTTATTGAGCAATATTGTTTTGAACCCTAATCTATGAGAGGCTTGAAAGATGGTTCATTCCCTTGCTTGCTGTTTTCTTCCTTTCAAGGAAATGGCCAACCCATAATTCTAATTCTTGGTAGCATCTAGGATGTGGTTTGGTTGGAACAACTTTCTAAAAAAGTGAGTGCTACCACTCCATAAAAGTCACTATAGATATCTACTTTAAGTTCTTGTTTAAAAATCTACCAAGAAATTGATCACAATCACATATGGTTGTTGATATAGAAGTTCTCATAGATAAATTGCGAACCTGAGGTTTAAGCATATACTCTCGAGGTTCAAGGTTTGAATCTCTTCCACCCTACAAACTAGACAGAACTTTAACGAGGAATCAGCATCCAGGAACGCTTGTCAAGTGACTTGAGCATCAGCTGTAAAATTCTAGAAAGAATATTATTTACAGTGTTCATACAAATTGAAGAAGAAAAAAAATAATAAGACACCAATTTAGCAGCAATAGTAAGATATGAATATTTAGCCATTGTAAGGAGTAATAATATCTACACTCCCATGAAAGCTCGAGACATGGATTCCCAGTGCTCCTTTGCTTGCTGAACTCTTTCTGCTCTTTCTGTCTGAAGACGTTTCTCCCAGTATTCAGGGCAGCTATTCAAACATACAAATGATTCAGAGTTACAAATCTTTGTAGAAAATAAGCATGAAAGAATGTAGAAACTGTTTGAACTTGGTATGGAAATGAACGGTTGTCGGCATACAAAAAGGGTCAATACTAACTTATGGCAGCTTTAAGGTTTTGAAATGGAGAGAAAAATGCAAAAAGTGAAAATAGATATTTTTGCTTTTATTTTTTTTTTATTTTTTTGAAAATAAATAACCATGAAAATTTTTAGTGGTCATTAACAAGTCCATGGTTGTATTTTATCCATTTAAAAAAATTAAATTAAGCCCTTTTAAGTTTGTGAAAAATGTTTAGTAGATTCGAAATTTTTTATTTTGTATCTAATAAAGTTTTAAAAAAATGCAATTAGTCCCTTAATTAGTGTCTAATAAGGCTACTCATATTAAAATATTACACATTTATTAGATATTAATTAAACTTGTATTCAAAGATTTATCAAATGCAAATTTAAAATTTAAGATTTATTAGACAATTAGTTCAAAAATTCATCTTAAACTTTTAATTTTGTATATTCAAAGACTTATCAAATGCAAAATTAAATTTTAAGACTTTATTAGACATATGTTAAAAAATTCATCCCATAAAGTATTAAAAAGTTATAGTCATTTATTAGACACAATGAAAAATTATTAGATCTAAGGATGTTATAGACTATGCCTGAGAAACAAGAGATGTACTGACCTTCGATGTAACAGAATACTAAGCTCTTCCAAATGTATAGCACCTTCATAAACTCCTGCCTGTGCATCAATACAAAAAATTAGATCAGAATGAAGTAGCAGAGCTCAGATCCTTTCGAAGTTAATCACAGAAACAAAGCTAGCCTTTCGTATGGTATTATAGCTGTTGGTATTAACCTACTTCAGTATCATCTTGTTTATACGATCCTTTTCTTTTTGAACCAAATGATAGCTGAACGAAGTTAAAACTGTCAGAGATGAATCTAACTTACCTCGCGGCAGAGTGGGCACTTTGCTTTTGGATTTGCAGACTTTAGCCCATTGACTATGGTTACTGAGGCTGCTGAACAAGCACACATGTAGCAAAATATATGGCCGCAAGCAAGAGAAACAGGATCAAATACTGTTTCCTGCAGTTAGAAAGAGTGAAAAAGCTCTGATGAACAAAGGAAGTTCTCATTTTAGAAACATTAGGTTCTTCGTGATCTAACATTAAAAAGAAGGGTCCTAATTGCAGGGATGATTTACTCTAATGGGTTAGTTCATTTGAGCAAACTAAAGCCTCCCTGGTTGCACCTGGAGTGTTGGAAACTCCAAGAGTTGAAAGCAAGCAAAATGACCTCACATCAATGTTCATCCCAACTTGAACGTCTAAATTGAGTAAATCTGGTGGTTTGACGTAACGGGAAAACTAAATCTTCATCCAACACTAAATCCAAATAAACTAATAATATCATAACAGTGATGCAAACATCTGTCTGCAAGAGTAATGAACATTAAACATGGGACAGTTTCATAAAAATACCGAAAGTTGAAGACCCGAAAACTTACCAAGCATATGGAACACGTCAAGTCAATGTCAAGTTTGACTGAATCGAAGAGCTCACAAGTAAGCGATGGGCTTCCATCAGTAATTGCAAGGGAACATTTCTCAAATGCTGAAGAGATCCTCTCAGATTTATGCTTTGTCTCCTTCAGGTTAATGTGAAATGCTATAAGCTCTGATAGCCATGGTGACTGAAGGATCTCAACGTGATAACTTTGAGCTTTCGACTTGAATGTTTGCCCTTGCTTGGAGTAATGAATCTGTACTCAGCAACCCAAACAAGAACTAAGTAAAAGAAAAAAAAGTTAAATTACAAATTAGTATTAACTTTCATAGTTGTGCACATTGGACAAAAATTGATGGATGAAATGATAGAAGCACAATCTTTTTAAGTAACTTTATTTTGTCCAATTGACCAAATCAACCAACGTATGAAATGGTAGACACGAACAAATTGAACCACAAGTTTGAGAATGCAAACCATTCGATTTTAGGAATTGAATTAGTAAATCTAGAAGCGGGAAAAAGACATCATTGAAGTGAATCAAACCGGAAATGGTAAGACATATTAGGCAAATACCTTATCATATTTCTTCAAGATTTTCCGAACTGCAATGGCGTTCATCATTGCATAATTAACCAGTTCATTCCCTTCTTGAATTAAGACAGAATGATCGCTTTCCAGTTTTCCTTTGAACCATAAAAGATACTTTCTAAAGCCAGAAGCGAGGTGCAGCTCAAGCAATTCCTGTGCTCGCTGATTAAAGCAGCCTACTATTCCAGACATTTCCTTGAGAAGGAAGGGGAAGAAAGTCCCATCGCACACTACGCCCACACAAATCAATTTAAACGAAACAACGACTTAAAATCACAATGCAATGTACAACCAATACAAAGTTTAAAATAACCTAACAAAAAATCAAACACCAAAAGGACAATCACAGAGAGATCAACAAAATTCAAGAAATCCTTAAATAGGAAGAAGAAACGACGAAGGAATCATAACATAATCGACTTTCCATACCTGAACAGTGATCCGGACAGCTCTGAACGGCTACGGAGGAGCAATCGCCATCGCCATCGCCATCGCCATGGCGGTGTTGAGACTGAAAATCTCTGCTACAATTCTTCAGAATCTTCTTGAGCCGTTTGAACTGAAATCCAGGCAGTTTCAGTTTCTTCTCCTGACCTCGCAAATACTCCTCATACTTTTTGCAGAACTTCATCTTCTTCCAGATAATCCACTCGATCTCTCGGCCGCGTCGTTCAAATCTCCCTAAACAATCAACTTAATCTCCGAACAAATGTAAATAATCCACCGCCTGAAAGCTATACTTTCTCTGCAATCTTAGCGCCTTAAATCGATCAGAATTCAACACACAACAAAAGAATCAGATATCACTGCGAGAATGAAGTGAAAAAAAAAAATCGCAAACTAAGCGGTTGTAAACTAAATTGAAAGGAAAATTCAGGTTTCTAATAAGAAAGAGGTTACGTTTTATATGAATTAAAAATATATTTATTATAAGATTTTAAAATATATGTTGAATTTTTATTGGGTAATAAATTTATTGACAATTAAAAAAAAAAAAGTCAAATAGCAGGAGGCTTTCGGAAGTATCACCGCCTGACCTCAGCCTCCATATTATAAATTATATATATTTTTATCCGTTAAAAATCTCTTACACACAAAATTCAAATATTTAATTAAAAATAATATTATTAGAAAAATTTTAACAAAATTAAAATAATTATTGTTTAAATAAACTTTTTAATAAAATTGATATGAAATAATGACGAATTTGCACGTAGTAAATATACTAATTACCACAAAAAAAAACGTTTTTTTCATACGACAATTTTCTTAAGAAAAGTATTAAATATTATTAATTAAAAATATTAAGGAATAAATGAATTTTGAAAGACTATACATTTGAAATATAAATTTCATATCTGAATAATTCAACGAATTAATATTTTTATTTAACTAATTATATTAATTTAGACTAAAGTTTTGGACTTTTGAGGAAATGAAAATAGTTGAAGGATTATTTGTGACATTGATGTATTATTATTATGAGTTTTTTTTTTTTCGAAATAATGTCTTCATTTTTTTTTTTTTTTTGGTTTAAAATATTTAAATATGGATCCTACGAAAGACCAGAGCCAGACAGCTGGCGTCCAAACAAATTCCTTTTAAATAAATATTCATATCCGTTTTACACGGAAAAGAAACCGTAAAAGAAAGCCCCGTGTTTATCACGAGACTTTCGTCGGAGGCAAGCAATACCGCCGGCTAACCGACACAAAGAATTTAAAAATATTCAAAATTAAAAATAGGGTATTAAAACAAATCATAATTCAACTTTAAAAAAAATCGAAAATTCAGATCTGTTTGTAGGTTGACATTTTTGTTGTGGGGCCAACCTAACACATTAACAATAGGGTTACAACTAAACTTTACCCTGCCCTACTTTCAAGATTATTATGAATATTAATAATATTTAATGAATGGTCATTTAATGTCTGTGACCCTCCTTAAGAGAAATTTTAATTATTAATTTAATATAAATTATGAATAAGTAAGTTGTCTTAAAAATAATTATATATATAAAAAAAAACAAAAAAACTTGACAATCCCATCTAATTTGAAAATAAAATGTTGGGCTTGGTTGGATTGTGAACTCACGAGTCACTAACACAGTTAACCCAAAATGGTTCAAAAAAATTTCTCAACCTAATCCAATTCAATTGATTGGTGGGTACTCTGTGAAACTCACATTCCATTTATTCAAAATGAAATATTCAAAAACTCAAATTAATAAATAATTAAAACCTAAATTAATAAATAATTAAAATGGTAAACGAAACAT